CGTGAACACCGGGCGGGCGAGTTTCCGCCACTGAAACAAGGCTGATTCTTGATCCCAGTACTTGGGGCTCCGCCTCAGCAGTGCTTGGACGTGTGGTCCCTGTTCACAGTGATCTCTCTCAAGAGCACGAGTGCAGAGGTGCCGCCTCCTCACGCGCAGTTCAGACGCCTGCACGGCCTCGGCCTCCTCCCTCCCCTCCTCGTGCTGGACAGCTGGTGTGGCGGCCAGCGGGCTTCTGTCTTTACATCTGATGTGGCGCTGGTTCCCTTCTCCCTATACGTCTGTGTAGGGACCAGAGTCACCTTCTGCCTTGATCTTCCCTTAAAGACACTCACTGTGATTCAGTCACAGCACTTAGAATGTTAGGCATTTGAATATTTACTCTTTAAATTTCTTTTAACCAGTCTTCTAATGCATTGCCAGCAGATTAGCATAAGGCCTTCTAGGCTATGCGTCACAGGGTTTTCTAACTCTCCTTGGTAGCAGCTACTCCTGTGTGCCAAGTCTCAGTAGCATTCAGTCCTTCCAAGAAGTGGGCGTAGTGGCACATGCCTGTAATCCCAGCACTCGGGAGGCTGAGGCAGGAGGATTGCCGTGAGTTCGAGGCCAGCCTGGGCTACAAAGTGAGTTGAAGGCCTGCCTGAACTGCTTAGTGAGACCCTGTCTCAAAAAAAAAAGTCCTGTGAAGAAATGAAACATGAGGTGGATGAGTGTGTCCTCCAGGTGGCTTGGCCATTTTGAACTCAGCCCACAGCCAGCCTCTAGAACTGCTCTGAAAGGGCTGGTGTTTGGGAAACAAGGTGTTTTAATCTTGGTGCTTGAAGCTGCTTTCGGGCAGGGTCTCTCCTCCCTGTGCGCAGAAGACCCTGAAAGTGCGTCTGCGCCGTGGGGGCTCTCCCACGCGCTCTTCTCTTGCGGCTCCTGGCGGCCTCAGGTGCTTCTGAGCAGGTCTCGATGCTCTGAAGCCTGGCACTGTCTCCTGGGAGGAGCCCGGGACGCCCCGGTCTGGGATGCGGTGTGTGTGCCGGCCTCTCTCCGCTCTTCTCCAGCCCACGTCTCTCTGGGCCACAGCACGGACAGCGGTGCTGCCGGGAGGGAGGGCCTGTACCCTTGGCCAGGAACGCTCAGCTGTCCTTGTGCTGTGCTCCGTCCCCTCAGCTGTCGAGTGACGGGCTCTGCCTTCTCCTTTCCGGCTGATGGTCCCTCTCCCCTTCCTGTGCCTCTGAGGGCTTGGGTTCTGAGGGGGCACTCCTCCGCGTCTCTCATGGGAGCTGCTGCCTGGGGAGCTGCACAGGTGGCCTCTGCTCTGGGACACTGCGTCCTGCACCCTCCTTCCTCTCCTCCGACCCGGCCCAGGACATGCCGGGTGCCCCTCCTGGGCCCACGGCGGCCTTTAGTCCTCCTGTGAGGGTGGTGGTCTCGTGCCCACCTGGAGGGGCCCAGGTTACAATGGTTCCCAAATCTGACTATGCGTTAGAATCAGCTTTGAACTGACAGGTGGGGATTAAAATGTGTGGTGACTGTTTAAAAAGAATTGTCACAGTAGTTGGGCTTGGTGGTGCATGCCTATCATCCCAGCGCTTGGGAGGCTGAGGCAGGAGCATCGCTGTGAGTTCTAGCCCAGTCTGGGCTACATAGTGAGTTCAAAGCCAGCCTGACCACAAAGTGAGGTCCTGTCTTCCAAACAAAAAATGATCACAGTAGAAGACGTTCCGTCATGTGTCCCTCTCAAAACCCTCCCCCTCCCCTGCATACTCACCCCGGCGTTCTTGCCTCTTTATTGCATGTGATTTTTTTTTTTTTTTTTTTTGGTACTGGAAATCAAACTCAGAACCTCAAACTTGGCAGGCAGGCGCTGTGCCACTGAGCACCATCCCGGCCCCTCTCGCCTCTCTCTGAGGCAGCTCTGGAGTCCTCTCTCCTTAGCACCTGCACGAGGTGTGATAAAAATACAGCAAACACTGCTGCTGCTGCGAACGCCAGCCCACGGAAAGGCGGGCTCGGAAGGACACGCGGGGCCCTCGCCCACCGTGCTCCCCAAAGCCAGAACGACCGTGAGGGCGCAGCATTTTGACTGAGTCCAGACAGTGAGGCAGCCACGAGCCAGCAGCACTGCAGACGCAGAAACGACTTCCGTACCTGCTCAGACAGCGGCAGGCGCGGCAGATGTGTGTGACGCGAGGGGAGGTCTCAGCGGGACTCAGGACAGTGTGTGTTCCACTGGAATAGCGTTTTCATTTATTCACCATGTTTTTTATCATACCTCATATTTCTCAGGAAACTAAAACAAAACAGAAAGGGGTTTTGTCCCATAACCCAGACTGTCTTCCACTGAGGTCATAAAAATAGAGAAGCAGGAGGCGCCCTCGGCCGGCGAGGGGCACGGCACTGCCGACAGGCCCCCCTGGCCTCCTCGGTGGGCGTCGGTGCAGGCAGGGGCTCTGCTTCCAGCACGTGTCACCTGTGGGTACAAGTGTGTGCATGCGTGTGCGTGTGTGCATGCCTCTGTGGTGTGGAGGCGGGTGCAGCACTCTCCTGCCCCAGGGTTTAGCAGGTGTCTCAGTCGTCGTTTCCTCCTGACGTCACTCGGTTCTCTGTAGCCTCCCATCCCGTGGGAGGCTCCCTGTTGGCTGCTCAGTGCGCGGTGATTACAGACTGCAGCCAGGAAGGTCCGGCCCGAGCGTCTAAGTTTAGCAGGCACAGGCGTCCCAGCGGGGGTTGCGGGTCGGAGGGTGCAGGCGTTTGGCGTGGGTGGGGCCTTCACAGCATCAACCTGCACCGGCAGCATCTTGAACTAGGGATCCTGAGGTGACTGCTGCTGGGCGCAGGACTGGAGAGCCTGTTAGAAGGCAGCTGCTAGGGTGCTGGGGGCACCGCTGCCAGTGCAGGCGGTCGGAAAACGCTGAGCTTGGTCGCAGGGGATCCCCAAAAGGTGACGCTGGAGAAAAGCCGCAGGGAGCCTCAGGGAGCTGGTGAAGGAATCCTGGGGCTCCTCTGCCTTGGTCGCAGTGGCCACATGCTGGCATCTGTCCGACTCACTCACTCCTGCCAGAGATTCCTTTTGACCCAGTAAACCCAGATTTTTTCCAAATGAAGTGAACTTTAAAATTTTGCATATTAGCTGGACATGGTCATGCACGACTTTAATCACAGCACTTAGAAGCTGAGGCAGGAGAATCATTCAGAGTTTGTCTAGCCTGGGCTACAAAGTGAGCTCAAGGCCAGCCTGAATTGCATAGTGAGACCCTGTCTGAAAAAGACAAAAAAAAAAAAAAGTTTGCATATGGAGCTGGGCATGGTGGTGCAGGCCTATAATCCCAGCACTCTGGGAGGCTGAGGCAGGAGAATCACAAGTTCAAGCTGCGTGTGGGCAATTTCAAGACTTAATAAAGGCCTTGGATTCAATCCTAAGTGCCAGTAAAACCCCCACAAAACAAAACCTGCCCGTGGGGCTCTGCCACAAATTGTCCCTGCTAAGACAGAGGTTTGAGTGCCTGGCCAGAGTGAGTGGGGAGGCGGCACCCCAAGAGTTCGGACAAAAGGGGCTCCTTTGACTTACTACCCATTTTCCTCAGCCTAGGGAACCCTTGTTCCCAGGCAGAGACCTGGCCTTTCGGAGAACTCTTGGGCTCCCACCGGAATTGTGTTGGCGGGTGCACATAGCACCCCAGAGGAAGCCTGCTCGTTAGTCCTGGCCACGCCACGGTCCTGCGGGTGCCCGTCAGCCCCGCCTCCGGCCTCCTTCGCCCTGCCTGGTGAGGCCAGCGCTCCGGGTGCCGTGGGTGGAGTGGTGAACGAGTCCCTGTCCGGCTGTGGGCTCGTGTTTACACAGTGGTTGGCGCGGGTCCGCTGCCGTGGGGGTCCCGTGCCCCCGAGGTTTGTGTGCACTAACCACACCCTTCCCACTCGCAGAACCCGCGGCACCCAAAGCCCAGGCAAATTCTGCTCTTTCTGTTCGTCCGTGTAGGGAACTCTCAACTTTGGTGGGATCAGGGTGGGCAACGGACCAACAGAGGAGGATGCTGAGATTATTCAGCATGACCAGCTCTCCACCCACTCGGAGGACGCAGAAGAGGTAAGGTCCAGCGGCGTGGCTCCACCCTCTGCTCGGTCGCCCCGGCTTGGTTTTCTCGGAGGCTCACGCCCTGCTTCTTGCAAACTAAAAATACTAACAAGCAGCTGCCTCCCAGCCATGCTTTTGCCGGGGCCCTGCCCCCCACTTGTTCGGCTGAGCGCATAGCAGCTCTCCTGCCCCTTGAGGCCAGCGCTCCCGTGGTCCTCCACGCGGCTCTCTTGCTAACGACGCCAGGCAGTGCACATGGCCCCTATGGTTCCCAGAAACACAGGCCCTGGGAAGCGTCTTCCTCCCTCGCGCTCTGCCCCGGGCTGGCAGCTCCCCTAGCCTGCGTGCAGGGGCCCTGGGAATCTCCAACCAAGAAACAAAAACCTGGCCCCGCTGCTCACCACAGCCCTATTCTCCTTGCAGATACTTTCCTTGAGCTTTTTTTGTTACATGCCTCTTTCCTACAGGGAGCGTGGGAAGGAGCGCGGGAGCGTGGGAAGGAGCGCGGCCATGTGGCCTCTTCCTTAGGACGCTCCTCTCAGGCTGCCGCGGTCCACCCGCTGCCCTGCTGCACTGTAGCGTCTGCTGTGCTCACCCTGCTCGCGAAGCAGAGTGCCCGGTTTCCGGGCAGTAGGGCCGACAGTGGGGACCGGGCAGCCCCCTGGCCACTCCGCTGTGTGGAGTGGTTTCTATCGCAAGCCTTGGGTGCCTCCCCGAAGTACGAGTCTCAGTGCTGCCTCTTGCTGCTGACTGCTGGCGGCCGAGCGCCGGCCTCCACAGCGGCTGCAGGCTGGGATGTGTCTTAACCTGTGACCCCGCGTGTGCGCGGCCCCCACTAAGTGTGCGTTTGTGTTTTCAAGCCTGCCGAGGACACAGCGGTAAGACGAAAGCCTGTCTGTTCTCTGGGCTTCTCTCCCCTCATCCTGTGAGCACTCTGCCGGCCCCACCGCACCCGGGGGCTGCGCACGCCCCGCGCTCGGGCCCCTGCCATCTCCCATCTGTGAGCCTGTGTCCACCGCTCATCTCCACCCCTGCTCTGTCGTCACCTCTGTCTCTGTGTCGTGGGTTTGCTGATCTAACCCTCTGAGGGGCTCGGAAGGACGCACGTCCTGTCTGCCTGTGCCCTCACGCCTGGGGCTTGGCCTCCACCTCCCCTCCTGGGCAGCGCGGGGCCGCGCCCACGCCCTGCCGGCCTCTTCCGCCTGACGCTCTGGCAGGTCTGCCACAGGCCCAGTCAGCACGAGGCGGGCAGTGTGCAGGACGTGGCTTGCCTGCCAGGCACTCTGGGAGGAAGGAGAGCTGGCTGGACAGGGCCTCGTCCGGGGCGTGGCCTCTGCGCTCAGCAGGGCTCTGCTTAGTGCCCCGTGCTTCGAACCGGGTCTGAAAGGCCCCACGGCACTGTTCGCACCTTCCTCCAGCACTGCTGCCCCACACACCTGCCCCCCGCTGTCCCAGGCCTGGGCGCAGCGGCACGGTGTCTCTGCCGTCCACTGGGTCCCGCTGAGGCTGGAGAGGGCCTCCCTGGCGCCAGGGCGTCCTGTGCCCCTGGCCACCACCAGAGGTGCAGCTGACCATCCTGCCCAGGGTCGTCCCTGCAGCCCTGTCCCGGGGTGGGAGGTGCAGAAGAGAGCCTCCCGGCTCTGTCCGTGCCCTGGGCTCACGGCGCCGTAGTGCTCACCTTGTCAGGCCCGGGGAGCTGTGCCAGCCTCCCAGTCATCTCCAGTGGAGCAGGCTTCTTAACAAAGATGGGCCCTGTCCAGGGCTCCCCACAGGCCAGCCGTGGCACCTGTCCCTCCCTGGCAGATGTTGTTTTTCCTCTTCCCAAGGTGTTCAGTCCAGCTGTGGGCTGGCCAGGCCCCTGAGGACAGCCACCTGGCAGCCAGAGCCAGGGGGTCACCAGACTGGCCACGCCCAAGTGTGCGCGTACTCTGCCCCTGGGTCAGGGCTACAGAGCTGACAAGGAGACAGCCCTGCTTTAGAGAGTGGCAGGGTGGCGGGGAGCTCGCCTGGGCGACAGCGAGATGGGTGCACACCCGGGTGCTGTGGGACCTTGTGAGCTCCAGGATGTCAGGCCCCCGAGCAGGAGCTCAGGAGGGTGCAGGCTCCACTGGGTGAGCGGAGCAGGGCTGGGCAGGCAGTCAGGAGCCGGGGAGCTGGAGGAGGGTCGAAGAGGCAGGGGGAGCCGTGGTGGCACGGCGGTGGCAGGAGGAGGAGCTGCAGTGAGCCGCCACAGAAGGACAGTCATGCCCCAAAGTGGCTCTGAGACTGAGCTTCCGGGAAGTAAGAAGAGCCAGCCCTGGGAGAGTGAGGGCGGGGCAGGTCAGGCTGGGGACTGAGCAAGAGAAGGCTGGGGTGTGGTGGCTCCTGGGGACAGCCCTGGTCACCTCCTCCGCTGAGAAAGCCTGGGCTGGGCTGCATAGCAGGGAGCAGAGGGAGGGCGGGGAGAGGCGGGCTGGGAGGAGGCCACCCCTCTCCTCCCCACGCCCGGCAACCCTGGGCTGGGGACTCGGGCACCGCAGCTCCGGGGTGAGGAGGCTTTGGAGCTGCTCTGTGAGAAGCCGGAAACGCGTCAGGTGTAATCGGGGTAAGGGACAGCGAGCCCGCTCTGTGGCCACAGCCTGCAGCTCCACCAAGCCAGCCCTGCAATCCAGGCAGAAATGGAGGTGAAAACCAGACCCTGACTTGGGCAGGGGTTAGCTGCTGAGCCCAGGAGTGGCGCCTGGAGGACCAGCCCAGCATGCAGGAGCTCGGCGCAGCCCTCCTGATGTGATGGGCTCTGGAACCTTCTGGACTCAGACACACTCCCCCGCTCACCATGCCAGGCAGACCCAGATGTGCGCCCGAGAGCTCATCCAGCCCCACCTTCCAGAGCAAGCACAGTGTGGGCGTGGGAAGACGGGGGTGGGGAGGCAGAGCCCCAGGACTATTGCCTGTGTGGAGGTCGGGTTCGCTGCTCCATTTCCCTGGGGATCCTTGAAAAGTCACAGAAGGGAAGGTCACCACAACCTGAAGGCTGTGAACAGCAGAGGCCCTGGAAGCTCCTCAGTGAGCAGGCAGCCTGGGGCCCCTTCCCATCCCTCGGGACTAGCTGCTGGGCACCAGCCCCTCCAGAGGGTGGGAGACGGCAGGCCCTCACTCGGCAGAGGGAGGAAAGTGCTGAGGAAAAGTGCATTACGATAGGGTAGGAGCTGACCCTGGGTGGTGCACATCTGTCATTCTAGCACTCTGGGAGGCTGAGGCAGGAACATGACAAGTTCAAGCCCAGCCTGGGCAACTTACTGACTTAGCAAGACCCTGTCTCAAAACAAAACTAAAACAGGGCTGGGGATGCAGCTCAATGCAAGAGCCCTGGGTTCAACCCCTAATGCTAAAAAAAAAAACCAAAAAACAAAAAACAAAAAACGTGATGTAGCAGGAAGTAGGGCCTGGGCCGGGACTGAGCTGGGCAGGGGTCCTGGGGGTTCGCTGCTGTCGCCAGCTGAGCCGCTGCCCAGTGCCCGGCCCTGGCCGGCCAGCCCGGGCTCCTGCACGGTGCCCTCCTGGCCTGATGGCCTCTCTCTGGCTTCCTCCACGACAGTTTGACTTTGGGGACACCATGGTCCACCAGGCCATCCACACCATTGAGTACTGCCTGGGCTGCATCTCCAACACCGCCTCCTACCTGCGGCTCTGGGCGCTCAGCCTGGCCCACGCACGTGAGTGACCCAAGGACTCCTGGCTGGGCCTCCTGACCCAGGAGCTGGGGACCTCGCCGGCCGGCTGGAGCCGGCAAGGCTGGGCTGTGCCTCCCGGGCTGACCGGCGCTGTCTCCCGCCCCAGAGCTGTCCGAGGTGCTGTGGACCATGGTCATCCACATTGGCCTGAGCGTGAAGAGCCTGGCGGGCGGCCTGGCGCTCTTCTTCATCTTCGCCACCTTCGCCACGCTGACCGTGGCCATCCTGCTCATCATGGAGGGGCTGTCCGCCTTCCTGCACGCCCTGCGGCTGCACTGGTGAGCAGGGCTGGGGTCGGGGTCTGCCCCCAAAGCGGGGCCAGTGGCTCCACAGCTCACCGCGCGGCACATGGAGCCCACAGAAAGGCCTGCTCATCCCGTCGCAGGCTCCCGGGAGAGCTCCAGCCATTAGCGCCCCTCTGTGCTCTGTAGCCCAGGCTGGCCTCGGACACAGCTGTCCTCCTGCCTCAGCCTCCTGAGTGCTGGGGTTACAGGTTTGCACCAGCATGGCCGCCATGGCTGGTGAGCAGAGGGCCTTCCCCGTGCGGTCTGAGTAGCATCCCCGCCCTGTGCTGTGACTGGCCCCTCTGTCCGCCCTCCTTCCCCTTTTGTCCTGGGACTGAAGCCCGGCTCCTCCACAGCTGCGCCCCAGCCCTTTCTATTTTTTTGTTTGAGTCAGGGTCTCACCTTGTTACGCGGCAGGACTCGAACTCGCACTCTTTCCGCCTCAGTCTCCCTATGTGCTGACGTCATAAGCACACCACTTTACACTGGAGTTGCCCTCTTTTCTGGGGTCTCCAGCCCCCGAGTCTGGAACTCTAGACACAGTTCCAGAGGATCCCTCACAACCCGCAGTGTTTTGCAGGGAAAAGGGCGCTCACTGAGCTGCTCCAGGAATCGAGGTGCAGTCGAGACCCGGGCAGCCCCCACCGGAGGCCCACTCTGACCTGAAGCCTTGCTGCTGCTCTTGCCTGTGGCCCTGTCACCGGAGCACGCTCCCGGGACGCCACCTGGCTGTGCAGGCGGGGAAGCCAGGCTTGCGGTGGGCGCAGGGCTGCGTGTTTACCCGGCCAGGCTGAGCAGGGTCCTCCCCGCTTATCGGCCGCCCGGCTGCTTCCTCCGGGCCTGCCCTGTGACTCACCCTTTCCTGCCGCGGGCCCGGCTCCAGCCCCAGGCCGGGTGGGAGCGGCCCCACAGCGGCTGTGACGCGGGAAGGTCGCCTCTGTCACCAGGGCAGCCCTTTTCTCCGGCCCCACAAGGCTCATGATGCCACTGGGCCCTGGGCAGTGGGCAAGGAGCCACAGCTCACACGGCCACCTTGACCCGCGCATCCCTCTGGTGGGAGGCCTGGGGTGGAGGACAACGCTCGGACCCGCCTGGCTGGCACTGAGCGCTGCGGTGGCGTCCTGCGCCCCCTGCTGGTGACACAGGGTCCCTGCACCCCTCTCCTGTCCTGGGGTTTCCTGACTCAGCTGAGAGTTGAGTTCCGACTCCAGGGTCTCTGTCCAGAACAAGAAGAAAACACCTGTTTGATAACAGAAAAATCCCATTCTGAGATTCCTGAAAAGTCAGGAGAAGCCAGGTGGCGGGCGTGGTGGCCCCCGATCTGCAGTGCCAGCGCTCCGCTAGGCCGGCTGAGATGGGAGGATCACAAGTACCAGCCTGGCAGCTTCGTGAGGCTCTGCCTCCACGTCCCGTCAGAGGGGTTGGGGCGCAGCTTGGCACGCTGGCTCACTCCCCGCTGCTACAGGAGGGGATGCGGGAGCGCAGGGAGGTGACGTGTTTGCAGAGGGTGAGCAGGTCGGCTGCCCCTGGACAGACCCAAGGTGCTGGCGGGGTGCTCCTGAGCTACGGAACACCTGGCTGGCACTGCGAGGGCCCGGGCATCCCTGGTGCTGCACCCTCGTCTCCAGCTCACGTGGCAGGCAGGAGAGGTGGCGCCAGGCTGGGTCCCAGGTCGCACGCACCCCTCCTCCGCGAGGCCTGGGTGCAGGAGGAAGTGGAGGGCACCGAGAGGAGGGGTGACCCAGCCACCCGAGAGCAAAGCCTCTGCCCCTTCGCTCCCCGCAAAAATCAGCGTGGCTGGGACGCCAGCCCGAGGTCAGGAGCCGGGGTCAGCAGACCCACCTCGGCCGACCTTTGCCCTGGGACCCGAGCTTGGCCTGCGCATGGCGTCCTGGGCGCACTCGTGGGGTGCAGAGCAACGCGAAGTGCAAGCCTGCTCCCAGCTCCGGCCTCCCAGCCGGCAGAGCCACGGGCGTAGCCTGCTCCCCACGCAGCGGCGGCCTCAGGGGCCGTTAGGAAGGACTCCTAGGGGTGTTCGGGGTGAGCCCAGGCCCCCCCAGTCTGGAGCCACCTCTGCCTTCACCCCGCGTGCCCCAGCCCGCACCCTTGCAGCTCTGCGCAGGCTGCGGCGCCCCGGCCCCCTGCCAGTGGAAACGGCGGGCCCTCTCCCGGCCTCTCCCTGAGCACACATTTTTCTGCCCATATTTGGCCGCATGCAGGCCGCGGGCAGCCCTCCAGGGCAGGGGCAGGGCAGGGGCGCCTTGGTCAGCCTCTTCCTGCGGGTGCAGTGCGTGCGCTGCCGTAGCGAGCCCGCCCTGCTTTCCCCGTGGTCTCCAGAGAATTCTCTCCAGATGTTTTTGTGGTTGGAACATATTTTTGCCTTGAGCTGGGAGGACTCCCCCTGCCGACTTCCCATTTTCCTGGGAATTTCCCCTCTGCGCCGAAGGCTTCCAGGCGTGTGCTCCCCGCTCACTCCTCCCTGCCTCCCCTCCTGCCTGTAACTGGGGCCTGCAAGTTCGAGCCCAGCCTGGGCAACTTAGTGATTTAGCCAGAGCTCGTCTGAACTTTCAAAGTAAAGTAGGCTGGGCATGTACGTCAGTGGGAATGCCCTGGGATCAGTTCCCAGGACTATTTTTTAAATGTATTTACTTAGGGACAGGGTCTCATTATATAGCCCAGGCTGACCTTGAACTTGTGGTGAGCCTCCTGCCTCAGCCTCGGGAGTGGTCCTGTGCCACCGCACCCGCCTTCCCAGTACTGTTTCAAAAGGAAAACAAAAGCTGCTGCCGGCTGACAGCTCCCTCTCCCCGCTTCGCAGGGTCGAGTTCCAGAACAAATTCTACAGCGGGACCGGCTTCAAGTTCCTGCCCTTCTCTTTCGAGCACATTCGGGAGGGGAAGCTGGACGAGTGAGCCCTGGAGGCCGTCGGGCGCCTGCCCCGCCCCGCCCCGTGACGTCGTGTCGTGTTTGCTGTCTGTGCCCGTCCGAGGGGCGCCCGGCCCCTCTGCACCGCCCGCTCGCCCGGGCCTGAGCCCTCCCCGGCCCCGCCCCTGCTGCGCGGTTGGAGGGGCGCAGACAGGCTCTGCCCGCAAGGGGGCGCTGCCTATTTATCAGCCCCACAGCCCCAGACCCGGCGCCGCCCTGCGAGTGCCCCCGCCGCCGTGCCGTCCTGCCCTGCGCGCAGGGCCGAGCCCTCGGCCCCTCCGCCTGCGTGCGGCCGTTCGGCCCAGGGCCCCCTCCCCACTTCCGAGGGACGCGGGGCGCAGGCCCGGTGACCTGGGCGGGGACGGTGGGGTCACCGGTGGTCTGCGGCTGGCGAGAGCGCCCCGCTCCGTGCAGGAGCCCCTCGCCCCGTCCAGGCTGCGGGCCCGAGGGCCAGGTCCTGGGATCGAGTGCCGGCGCGGCAGCCCGGCCGAGGGCTCGGTGGGGGTGCCGCCCTGGTGCAGCCCCTCCTCCCGCCCCCGGCCCAGCCGCGGTGGGGCCCTGCTGGTGTGGCCGCGCGTGCGGCGCCCGTGGAGACCTGTGCTGCGCCTGCAGTGGGTGCCTGCCCGCCGCCCTGTGTTCACAGACCTGTGCTCAATAAAGCGTGTCAGCTCCAGGGGCCCTGCGTCCGTGCCCTGCCCCCGCCCGGCTGGCCGCCAGGCTGGGACGCTCGCCTTATCTCCACGTGCCGTCCTTGGCCCTCCGCTCTGCACATGCCTGGGGCGGGCGGCACCTCCCTCCCTCCCAGCCGTTCCCGGCCCGGCGCCTTGGCCTTGGCCCGCGCGGCCGTGAGATCTCTGCTGCGGGAGCTGGAGGAGGTGGGCTTCGGGGCCGGGCTGCTCGGGCTGAGCTGCAGGCTCTGGACGCGGCCCGCCTGCCCAGAGACGGGCTCCCTTAGCTGCTGCCCTCGCTGCCCCCGACGGGGAGGCCTCTGCAGACTGAGGACCCTGGGGACAGCTGCACACACGGGGTGGGTGGTTTTCACCCGAGAGAGCGGGCGGTGGGGGGGGACTCTGCCGACAGGGCCGGCGCGCAGCCCGCGGTGCATCAGAGGAGCCGAGCCAGGCCCTGCCCCGCCCCGCGCGCAGGGCCAGCCGAGGGGCGTCTGGAGAGAGCGGAAAGTGGATTCGCTGGACTTGAGCAGAACTGAATGTGGAGCCTCTGAGGTCAGAGCCAAGAGACTGGAGGCAGGCCTGGGGCAGGTGGCAATGTCCACGGAAACAGGCAGCCCTGGAGTCATGATGCCTTTTTATCCCGGCAGAGGGTAGGCACGTCTCTAACTCATGACACCATGGAGATGCTCATCATTAGTCATTACAGATACACAAATTGAGCCCATCCTGTCATCCCACCAGCGGGGAGGCTGAGGCAAGAGGGTCACTAGTTCAAGGCCAGTTACAGCTACATCATGAGTTCAAAGCCAGCTTCAACTACATAAGGAGATCCTGTCTCAAAAACAAAAAGAAAAAGTAAATTTTTTTTTGTTTGTTTGTTTTGTTTTTATCTCCGGTACGGGGAACCGAACTCACGACCTTGCGCTTGCCAGGCAGGCGCTTTGCCACTGAGCTAAATCCACAGCCCCAAGAAAATGTAAATCAAAACCACAGCAAAGAGCCAAGTGGGGTGAGGGAGCCTGTACTCCCCACACAGGGAGGCAGAGGCAGGAGGATCAAGAGTTCAAGTCCAGCCCAGGCTACATGGTAAGACTGTCTCAAAATATAAGAAACATGCACACACACAAACCCAAATATACGCTAAGGTATGAAACGGCCACACCAAGTGCTGGTGAGCGGGTTGAACCCCCATTTCCTGCATGAAAGCTGGTGCACTTCCTGGAAATGTTACACATGGAACAAAGGACCCCGTGCCCAGTTCTTGGGGCCTACCCCCCAAAAAAAGACATGCGTGCAGAAACGCGCGGCAGCGTTCCTCATGATGCCCAAACTCGGGGTCACCTCGCTGGTGAGTGTCAGCCTGGGGCGTGGGTCACAGACACAGACGTGGGCCTGTGCAAGGGCATGGCGCTGGCACCTGTGCTTCTCCACGAGACTCTGAACTCAGAAGCCCAGTGGTCATCGAGATCCAAGGGAAACAGCCGACTGTCCCAGCCCTCACGCGTACCTGGGACGGGGTCACCGGCAACAGCAGCCAGTGCCTCTGGCTGGGGGCAGGCTGTGTCCCGAAGCACTGCCGTGGGTTACACAGATGGTGCTGAGGACACAGCACCACTAACTGCACGTCTGTGCTCGCGTCCCTACTTCCTTGCGGGCTGGGACCCGAGGCCACGCCTCCTCCGCCACGTGACTTTCCCAATACCCAGAGCCTCTCAGGTCCTCAGATCCCGCGAGCGGTTCCCTCTGCGCAGCACCCCCCCCCCCCGCCTCGCTTCCCGTCTCCCTGCCGTTCAGATGCTGCCCTGGGCTGGGGCCTTTGCACTTCTCCGGGTGCTGCTGTCCTTTCACGAGCAGCCCAGCAGCCACGGCAGCGCCTGACACAAAATCTGCTAGCGCCTACAGCTGTTATCTGGCACTCTGGGAGGCTGAGACAGAAGCACTGCAAGTTAGAGTCCAGCCTGGCCAATTTAATGATTTAGACCCTGTCTCAAAATATCAAGTAAAAAAGGGTTGTGGGATGTAGCTCAGGGCAAAAGCCCTGGGTTTAACCTCCAGTACGACCAAAAATCCAAAAAGTTCCAATATGTATTTATTGGGTGGGCTGGGGAGTCAGGAAAAAAAGCATCCGCACCTCTGCGGCGGTAGGGGATGGAAAGCAGCCGTGCGCAGCAAAGTCGCGTGACCCACCGCGCCCCGAAGGGACGTTCGCGCGGCCCCGACACCCCGCGGGGCGCGGCCGGCCCGGAAGCGGAGGCTCTGGTCAAGGCCGGGCTTCAGGGTCACGTGCCCAGAGGCCCGCAGCGGATTGGCCGCAATCGCCCCGCCCCCGCCCCGCCCC